TGGCCTTATTTAGGAAGAGGGAACTGGTCTGGGTTGGGGTTTGGGAGGGGGGTCAGTGTTTCATCCCAGCTGGTGATGGTGTCTGGAGGCCTTCATCACTCTGGCTGATGAATTGGTGCCACAACACCATTTACTCACCACTGCATCCTATTTCATCCCCGAGACTTCCTCTCAGCGTTTGAGATTGTTTTTTTTTTTTGGATTACATAAAACAGGGAGACACTTAAATTGCCTTGTGTGAAGGAACAGATGGCCTTGAGAGTACTTTATCGGTCTCTTGGGACAGACGGTTCTTTAGGAATGGTGCTTTGTGTACATTTATGCATTTGCCCGGACGTAATAGTTTTTGCTGTGCATTGCACTCGCGGGGGGCACAGCCATTGTATGCTGATTCATAATATAATGCAGAAGGAAGGGCAGCTTGCGGTGAATAAGGCTTGGCACTGTGCTTAAAAGTTAAATCCAGTCACCCTACTAGAGCCGGTGCATCCACATTCCAGGAAGTAACTTAGGGATTTAAAGCATTACGTGTATTATAGCTCAAGATTTAAACATTTGTTCAGTAAATCTCTCAGTGACAAAATTACGGATGAGCCTGTGAGCCAGTTTAGCTTTGCAAAAAATGTTGTTATGGTGCTTCCTCAATATGCAGTACGTTTCACAACTTAAGCTAAAATAAAAACATGTTTTTTTTGGACTCAACACTCAATACTGTATTCTTTGTAAAGCAAATGAGGGGGAAAAGGGTTAGTAATCATTTCTTTTTTCTTTTTTTGTTTTGTTTTACGGAACCACTAGAAACTTCAGGTTGTTGGGATTTTATATGACAATCCAACACAAAGTAGCTTATGGTTTTGTAGTGTAAAGAAAAAGATGAAAGGTTTTTTAAGATATTGTACGAATAAAAATCTTAAAAATGTGACGAACATATACATGCGTTTTAACTCTGACACCTCTCTGTGAACTCAAATCTAGTATCCATTTGTGAAGACGTTAGAGGTTCATCAAAGAACATGGTGAACAAACAACCTCAAGAAGACCAATGAACACAGCAGGATGGGTCAGGGAGAAGATGGTGCAGAGCTACAAAGAAATGACCATCACACCATGCTGACCGCCTTGGCAAGAACAGTGATTCGTTCTTGCCAGCACAAATTTGCGCTCCACAAAGTTAGCCTTGATTGAAGAGTAGCGAGTTTTCCTCAAGGTGCTTTGGTCAGATGAGACCACATATGACATCTTTGATCTGTGTGCAAACCTGTGACACATCTCCTTTTACTCGCCATACTCGCTGTGAAGCATGGCAGTGGCAGCAGCATACTATGGGGATTCATTTCTTCAGAAGGAAGGATATTGTTAGCGTTGATTAGAAAGGCTAAATACAGGGTAGTTGTGAAACAAATCTTGGAAAGGAATGGATGGAAATCTGTCTCGTAAATACAGCCCAAGCTGCAGTGAAACGGAATTGCAATTAATTTTACAGAATTACTCTGTGATATAGTCTCCTTATTCCTAAATAACTCTATTTATTTCTCAGTTTTTTTTGTTTTTTTTTCCCCAGGTCCTATACTTTCAAATCAGGTTGTGTTTTTGATGAGAAAGCCTTGGTCTACTTGTTTCATGTAAGCACAGCAGAGTGATTAGCTTTTGGCAGGATGTACTTGTGCGTTTTAATGACATCACACACCAGGTTTAGTGTTTTCAAGAGAGAAAATGTGTACATTTTACTGTTCGCCGTTGGCTCCGTCTCTGTCGAGTTCATGAATGCGTTTCCCATCCGCTTTCGTCAGTAAAATGTATGAGTTTAACATTCCAGTATGAATTGTAACTGCCTTTGAAGTTGTCAGCATTTTAACAGTCACTTAAAAAAATCCAGTCTGGTTGGATTAGAAATTCACATCTCTGTTAAAGATATGACAGATGGATTTTGAAAGAAAACTGCTGAAGGGGACGGTTGTAAATCCCCTCCGAACCTCAACCCCTGGGGTTTAGCCCCTCATTAGCCACAAGCTCCCAATCAGTCTCAGAAGTCCTCCTCTCTGCGGTCATCTTATGCTGCTGTCTAAAACGACAATATAATTAGAACCCACAATGTTTTATTTCCAGTTTTATGTTGGCTCATAAGGAACAAGTGGCTCAACACAGCTGCTTCTCACAGCAACCAAGAACTTTAGGGGATTGCCTTCAAATGGCGAATTTACTGCAGTTCAGGAAACATGCCGGGATATTGGTTGTCTTGGCACAATGACTGACAACAAATAAAGAGAGGCTTAATCAGCTATGTATGCTATTCTGTAAGCAGAAGTAAAACCAAATCAATTGGGCCTTTTTGATGTTGTGTATGTTGTTCCATTGATTTTTCTCCCCACAAGCTTTCATGTCATATTGTCAAAAACATACTTTGTTTTAGTCAGTAAGCTCAAAAAGTCTAACTTGATTAATTACTCTCAGAACGATGTTTTTTTAAACTCTAATGTTGATGAATGTGGCTTACTGCTAAGGGAAGCAATGTCCTGAAAACAAGGTGCTCTTGAAGCACCTTGAGAGAAATTACATTCACATTCTTGATCGGACTTTGCTCTATAATCTCTTGAAAGTTTTTGTTATTTCAACTTTTGCAACTGCTTTTCCTTCCACTCAACTTTCCATTAATCTCATGTTGTCCTTTTGAAGGATGTCCGTGACCACGTGTTGAACAGCAGTTTCTTGTTTGATTTTGTAGACTTTGACATAACTTGTGTTGTGTATTATAACACAAGTTATAAGATCTCATGTAATATTGTTCACTTTCTGAGTACTTGAACACAGTGTTTTTATTGTGTTCAAGCCATAATCATCAACATATCAGAATATATTTGTTTCAGAATTGAAGTTAATTAGATTTTAGGTCATATTCTAATTTATTGAGACACACCTGTCATATTTCTGAGATAACATAGCTAGAAAATGTCAAAATCCTATTTTGTAGCATCCCATAAAGTGTGTCATGTAAACCGTGCGCTCGACTTTGTGTGAATAAAGACCAGGGCTACGCCATTGTTCTACATGTTGAAATCCAACCCCACCGCTTAATCTCCTTGAGTGTCAAGATTTTGTTCAAATAATGCGTGTGCTGGAAGGGGATCTGCTCAGCCCTTCAGCCTCTAATTGTGCGGACAAAGAATGTGACAGTCCTATTGTTTGACTCACGCACCCTGCGCTGCCACATGAAAAAGGAGCGGAGTCGAACCACCTTAGCTTAACTGCGCTAAAGAACTTGATTGCATTGAAACGCTGAGCTCCACTGCTCTCTTGTGATTTCAGTCACATCGCAGCCCTTTTGCTGTGCACCCCCCGTCCTCCTCCACTGTCCACCTCAAACACCTCCCCGCCTGCCAAGTACATAGGAAAGCAAGTCATCCAGGGCGAGTGAGGGCTGAGTCCCTGCAGGGAATCACAATGAGTCCTTCGATGCTGTCCTTCCCTGGACTGTAAAGCATCGACAACCTCCCCCACTCAAAGGCCACCATGGGCTGCTTTTGTCCCACTTTGCAAGAGATTCTTTTCCAAGTACACATAAAATAAAGCTTTCCCTCTTGTAGAGGGTTGCTAGATATTGTATTATGTCAGACTTTAATAGACTTGAATGTATGGATTTCTTTTGATTGTTTTTTTTTTTTAAAACATTCTGAAAATTTGTATAGAATCTTTTTTTCCTCTGAAGCACTTTGAATATTAGCTGAGTCTTCCTAATAGTACATCTCAAAAACATTAAAGCAGTACAGTGCCAAAACTGACCTATGATTTTCAGAGTGTGACCCATAAGAGGCACAAAGTTTTGCCAGGAAACTATCCCTCATATCATTACAGCACCACCACCAGTCTAAATTGTTGATCTAAAAACAAGCAACATGATTCCATTATTTCAAGCTCACGACCGGTTCTTACCCTACCATCTTTTACTCTCCACTTTTACTGAGCCAGTGTGAATAGTTGCCACAGTCTCCTGTTTTTACCTGATGTGGTCTTCTGCTCAATTGCACTTTTCCCACTGGTACACTTCTGAAACTGCTGTTTTACTTTTAGTTTACAGGCTTCCTCTCTATAATTGCGCATTTCTACAATTAGTCATATTAACTACTCTTTAATACTATGAAGCACCTTCCCTTATGTGCTACAAGATGCATTGGCAAGTATAGACACAGGCATGCACCTTGCAGGTTAAAGTGCCTACAACCAGGTGCGTTGAAAAGTGAAATCTAGTGGGTATTGCTTGTGAACTTTATGGTCGAAAAGAAGCATATTTTATATAGTTTACATATTCAGTTCAAGTGAGGTCACGTTAAAAACTTTAACGTATGAAACGGGCACTGAGTATAGACGGAGCGATATGTTAAAGCTTCGTTTGAGGAGCTTCTTTTCCTTTGCCAGTTGAAAAAATAAATAAATAAAAGAAGAGAATCATGGGAGCGGGGTCAGGGTTTTGGAGGGTCAAGAGTGTTGCTGTGGCATCGCTAGCCTGTGGTACACCTCAACAATCTGTGCTGACTAGCTGCCCAGAACTACTGTGCACTGCAACAGTTTCCCATGGGTCAGATGGTGACTGAGTGCCCAGTTATATCTTCGCTGTGACACATGAAAGAGCCTTTGTGGCTAGAATTGAAAAACACCTTAAGGGTAATGAAAAAGAAAAAAAAAAGCTGAAAGAAACTGGATGTTTGCAAGGGAAAGGAGAGACAACCAACAAAACCTAAAATAAAAGGCACCACTGTTAATTGCCAACATGAAACGCTTCCTTTTTTTAAATTTAGTGTGCCTTTGAATATTTTTGATATAAAAAATGTCTTTGTAAACTTAGCTTAACCTTAATGTGTTGCTTTATGCGACTGAGATAAAATCTGTATAACTCGAAGCTGAATATTTTCACACTTGTAGAAAATTGCACATTTAAAACAAAATAATATAGATATTTATCACGTGCTTTAATTTATAGCTGACAATACCTACGTTTATTTTTTTAGGTCCCAAATCAGATGATCCTCCCAAGACTTGCAACCCTAAGCAGTTTGCCTGTAAGGACCATGTGACCTGTATCTCCAAAGGTTGGCGCTGTGATGGGGAGAAGGACTGTCCAGATGGCTCAGATGAATCACCAGATATCTGTGAGTACGCCCTCATAAACGGCAAAAACTCTCTGGAGGGTTGTGTTCTGTCCAGAACACAGAGAATCGTTACTTTTTGCTTGGTCAATGATTCTTTTTTTGTTTTGTTTTTTCACAACAGCCTTTTTTTTTCTTTTTCTTTTCCCCTCATAGCCAAATCTTCCTTTCTGCATACGACAGTATAAATTATGATCTGCAAATGGTTGTACAGAGACAAAAGTACAACAGGGAGAGAGTTTCATTTGTGCCTGAATAAGGATGGCATTTTTGCCCTTTCTGCAAAGGACACCACTTTGCTGAATTATAGCTCTAATTATGCAGCCTTGTTTAGTCTGAACCTCTGGGGTCTGTCTGCCCTCATCTAGATTCCTTGCAGTCTCTGAGAAGTCCAGGTTCTGGCCACGTCCACTTGCATTTCTCAGGCCATGTGTCCATAAACCATCATGGGTAAAAGCATTCCTTTTGTGTAAATGCAGGCACAAATGGTGATTTTTACCATCTGGTCCGGGCCACACCTTGCATCCGTCATACCACAAACGCCGTCGCCACAAGGATTCTTGCCATAGTCCGACATGCAAAGACAAGCAACGGATAACAAACATTAAAATCCAGGTTAACACAGTGGCACCAACTGTTTGATATGGTTCACTGTAACATGATGTTTTCTGCAGCACCTATCGAGTGTTTAATACCATATTAACTGGCTGGGTTGTAATGAGATCTTGCATTGAGATCTTTGGCGGAATATAAACATATTTTACACCAAAGTTGGATCCATTTATTGCCAGCATGTAACTGTCTGGTGGAGGGAAGTGCTTTAAGCTTGACCCCATTGTGCATCTTTGACTGAGACTTTTAATTTAATTTAGCTAAGGGAAGTAGTTCTTCAGTTACCCTACTAAATCACGATTGCCAACTTAGCAACTCTGTCAGTGTATTTAGCGTCTTGCCAGACACTGTGACTTCTTTTATCCTCTTAAAAAGTAACTTTGTTCTGTGCTATTGGAGATACTGAAGACAGCTGCACCACTAAGCTTTTTCAAATTGAAGTTATCAATCAATTTGTAATCACTTGAGAGTTCGATGACTGCATTAACCACTGTGTGCCAACAACGCTAAACTTAGAATCTCCTTTGGGGTTTTTCTAGCAATACTGAAATCTAAAGGGCTGTTTTACATTTTTTTTGTACTCAGTTAAAAGAAAATGTGAGACTGAAAGACAGACAAGACACTGATGAACCGCAAGCACAATTTAACAAATTGTCCTCAAAGACTTTGAAGTTGCCACTGGTGTCAGTGCTCTCTGTAGGCACTAAACTGCTTTTTCACAAGTCAGGTAATTTACATAATTTTTTTTGGTGGGCTTTACATTTATTCATTGATTTCAAAAGATGGCTATGTATGCCTTTGCTTGAACTAAACCTGACTTTCAGTGGAGTGGCTTGTCTTTCACTTGGCAGTGGTGACTGACAGGATGGCACGGGTATGAACTATTATTTGTCTGACAAGATGAATATCAAGTTTATGAGAATATTGTAATTAGCATCAGCTTTAGATCTCCTTTCTGGGGTTAAAGGAAAAGTCTTTCAGTTTTTATTTGTATTTTTCCACATTTGTACAGAGTGCAGACCACATTTGCACATTTGCAACTGCAAAGAATATTTCAAAGAATTTGGGAATTTGGACTTTCAACAAAAATAGTGCTGCGCTCTTGTCTTTTTCTCATGAACCCAACATGATATCTTGTCTCATCTCATGAGCTGCATGCATTGTTGCACTCAACAAAAAGGGCATTAATTTACTAAATCCCACATGAAACCAAAAGAAAACAGGGCAGAACATAATCTCATGCAGATCAAATTTCGCTACTTGATAGATCTACTCTGCCTATTGGTAACTGCTAATCTCAGTCACAAAAACTTCCCAAAGTAGAGGCCTTTTAACAAAATTTTGAGAAGGAAATAATCTGGTTATGTAAATCTCAGCAATCTTAGGCAATTTCATCTCTGTGTGCAACACCTAATTCATTCAGTCAAACCACATTCATCCAGTTAGTGCCCTTTTATGTTAAGCAGATGAACTGAGTTTGTTTTCCACAGCACTTATGTAATTTAGTGATTCAGACAATGGTGTGATTCATTCTCTGCAGGGAGAAGAGGAAAGCAGTGTTTCACCAGAACATCAAGATATGTTCTGCTCAATTACACTTTCCCCACTGGTGGACTGCTCTACCTGCTGTTTTACGTTTAGCTTGATGTTCCTCTCCATCACTTTTGGTTTTTGAGTCAGCCATAATAACTATGCTTTAGTTACTATAAAGCACCATGCCTCGTATGGTTTACAGTTTATTTGCAAGAAATAGACAAAGGTAAGGTGCCTGATAGGTTTAAGTGCGACCACTTTTGGATTTTTATCCACAAATATGAACTTGTTCTATTTATTAAATCTAAGAAGTGTTTGGAATGGCGAGCAGCTGCAGCTAAAGCTGGAGTGAATGAGCCTGAAGAAGCAAAAAAAAGAGAGAAAGTTTGGAGAACTGTTTTGGCTCTGGAGTTTGTTCTTCACGCTCATGTAGTTCAGGAAATCTTTTTATGTTCCCTTCTGATGGAGTGTTTTTTTGTCTTTTTCTTTTGTAAAGATTTTCTAAGTATATTTTTGAAAAGAAAACGTCTTATGAGGAACATCTGACCAAACGTTGCTGTAAGCTGATATCTATTAAGCTGTGACAATGATTAGTAAAAGCAGAAAAAAAAATCCTACTTTTCAGGCATCTCTTAGTTTTAGACTTTATGTGGTAGCTGTTTTTTTTTGTTTGTTCGTTTTTATTACATTTACATATTTAAGAAATATCCTTTGGATTATTTTGAGATGTATTTGATGCATAAATGGGATGATCTTGTAATGTCTGTAGTTATGATGGCCGATGAGTTCTGGAGGTAGGAGTGTGTCCTGTAACTTGTGGGTTGCTGGTTCAAACCTCAGTGACACTTCACTTATGTCAGAGCAGCTGTGGCTACAGTGTAGCTCACCACCATCAGTGTGTGAATGTGTGTGTGAATCGGTGAACGACTGAATATTGTGTGAAGCACCTTGGATTCTACTGGACTGGAGAAGTACAGGCATTTTACCACTTTTGTTGGGTTCCAAACTTTTCAAGGAATCTGCTGCGCTTTTGTTTTTGTTTCTGGCATTTAGTATTGTGGATTTAAAACAAAGTTTACGCAGATTAACTGGCATGTTTAATAGTCTCAAATTGTAAGAATTGCACTCATCAGGAGAAACACAGCAACTGGTGATGGACAGTAATGGTGTCATTGCTCTACACATTTAAAGATGGTAAAATGGTCCCTGCAGAAAACTGAAAAATGTTTAAATCTATCTTTACGTACTTTTTCTGTGATATTGTCACCAGTTTCTATTTTTAAACCTCTTTCCCAACAAAAGTGAATGTTGTACAGAAGGTCTGTAACCTCTTGTGGTAAGGTGCGTGTTAATAAGAATGAGAGCAGTGATTTTTGCATCGCAACGTTAGTAAATAGTGGCAACTTCTTAGTGTCGCATTCATCCACCATTCATTCATCCGTTTCCTCACAGGTTCTGGCTTTTGCATTTTTAATATTTAAAGACACAACAGTCATTAATTCACAGTGAGCACGTGTACTTATGCTCCAAAGTGGGCAAAAATGAAGGAAAAACTCTGTGAATTTGAGCAGAAAATATCCCAACATTTTATTTAATAATTCTTATTTGGAGTGTTTGATTAGTATAAAAACCTATTTGATTTTAAATGTTGCATTTTGCACCCTATTCTGTCGGTGTCTTGCATTGTCAAAAAAGTAAGTCGGTTGTAAAAACATCTGTTAGGGAAGCATTGATATCAATGTTTTGAGGAGAAATTGATATTCTGTATTAATATTGCTCTTTTGGCCGATAATTGATATATGGCAATATTGGACACATCTCCCTTCCTTTTCATGGAGAAACAACCACCATCCCTCAAGTTGTTTCTCTCATTCAGTTCAACACCCACAATCCTGCATTGGGTTTTAATTAGCTGTAAGCCATGATCATGAAAAATTACGGAAAAATAACTGAAATATGTCAATTTGTGTACTGACTTTATATAAGTTCAATTTTTTTTATTGAACTACTGAAATAAGTAAACTTTTCAATTATGTATAAAAATTTATTGAGATGTTAAGGTGTCATTTAGCCACATCATGCTGGAAGAGGAAGCATGGCTGGGATGAAATTTGATAACAGGGTTAACACCTGAATAAAGAACATTTACTGACAGAAAAATGTATGAGAATCTGGCCAACAGTCTGGCTTGCCATCAGCCTTACTCAAGTGTCCAACATATTAACCAGCCCACAGTCTAAAGATGCTGACATACGCCACCAACATGTCAGCTGCTCATGGGATGCAGTGCCAGAACTCCACTACAGAAGCAGAAGTCTGTCTTTAGCTCCTCAGCATAATTACAGCTTAGATGAACAGCTTGGAAATGACTGGCAATTAGATCCTCAGACAGTATGGTGCTGAGAAGGATACTTACTTCCCGCAATAGCTACTAGAAGAGTAGATCAAGGACCCACATGAGACGGGGATATGCATTTACGGTTCCCACATGCTGACGACATCTAAATGTATTAACATTATGAACAAAACAGGTGAGAGAAACAAACAAACAGACAAAAAAAAAATCAAAGATGATAATTAAGCCAAATTAGGGCAAGTTATGAAGTTTTCATAATGACACTCCAGTCTGAGAGAAAAGGGAATATTACAAGCAGATTGCACTTTTCTCAAGCGCACTTTTCAAACATTCTGAAGCATAAACAAGTCTTGGTGTTGGCATCGTGCACCACCTGCCGAGTCAGTCTTTCATTAATAGCCAGGACAGACCAGGGAGGGAGGGAGGCAATCCCTCACTGGGACAGGAGCTCAGCCAAGCAGGGAGAAGACAGGAGGACTCCGCAAACAAAACAGAATAAAAA